ATCGTGCTGAGAACGGGGCGACAATTTTCACGCACCCGACACGCTTGCGATACGATCATTAAGTTCGTAGGTACTACTACGCTCGAGTTACGTGGGTACTACGCCTTCGACGTCTCTAATACGCCCGCACTGCGCTGTCTTTCCGCCACGCTCGCACCACGATTGTTTTGAACATGTTCAAAGTTTGGCCACGCTCTCCACGCTCATGGTGACTGCACCGCGCTCGACCGCGATCGCAGTACGTCCATATACGTTCATACTGCGTTCTACACGTTTCCACCACGCTCTTAGAGCGTAGTACGAGCGTAGTGAGATTGGGGCCCTGGTGTGAATGGGGTATTAGATAGTACCAGGGTACGTTCCGGTATACCGGAACCCAGGGTACGTTCCGGCAGTACCCCGGGGGACATAGACCCTCTCAGCTTTACTTACCATATGCACCATCATTGAAAGGTGCCTGAGGAATGGATGCGTAATAATTACGTTCTTATTTTGTCCATGTTGAATAGAATATCAGTTGTCACATATGTGTCCAATATCATTATTTTTTTTAATGCTTGCAACACGTCGAGAAAATCACAGATATAAATATTGTGCCAGTTAATTATTGCTGGGAGTATGTTGATATCAAACAACGAAAATTTTATATGGCACACATGAACGTATTAAGTGGTTTAGGCATAAATATTCTTTAGGCAGTCTTTTGTTTTATGTAAAATGGATTTTAGGATTTGTAGAGTAGTTTTGTAAGAAAGATGATGATTGATAATCAGGTTGGTAAATAGACTGTGAAGTGACTTTAAACAAATCAATATTGGAGACTAAGAAAAACGTATTTTTGTAAGAAAAGAGGACGTTGTGTACCATATACAGTAGACTGGATTGTGCTATAATGACACTCTACTGAATAAAGTTAACGTGTTCATGTATGATTGACAACAAAAACAAATGATATCGTAGCAATAACACAAATACGTACTGTCATATATAAGTGTTATATAAGACTTACTTGAGCTCATAGGGTCTATGTCACCCAGGGTACTGCCGGAACGTACCCTGCCTGGGTACGGTATACCGGAACGTACCCTAGCTGGTACCTATTTGATATGGTTAGGGTTAGGGTTAGGGTTAGGGTTAGGGTTAGGGTTAGGGTTAGGGTTAGGGTTAGGGAGTAGGCGTAGGAGACTCCCTAGACTCGTTAGTGGAGTAGGCGAGGTACGGTCCGGCATATTAGATAGTACCAGGGTACGTTCCGGTATACCGGATCGTACCCAGGGTACGTTCCGGCAGTACCCCGGGGGACATAGACCCTCTCAGCAAT